GCCCTGGCCGCGCCCCCCCCTGCCTACGCCACCCTGGGGCCCAGCGCCCCGCCCTGTGCCCAGCCCTGACAGATTTGGGGGTGTCCCGCCCTCCCTCCCCCGGCATGGCTAGAGCAGAGCCTCCTGTTAAAGCCCCAGTCATATTGCACTCATTCTAGACCATTCTAGTGTTCAAGTCCCATCCTCCACCAACCCGTGTCCTTCCATTGCGTGGTGTGCCTGCATAAGCCCTCAACCAACAGAAGAACTCCTACACATGCCTCAGAACCCTACCCGGAAACACCATGGCTTGCGTGAAAGTGAGGAGGCTGTGTTTGTCCAGTGGCATCCGCTCTCCCCGACCAGCAGCTTCTGGGGTTTGAAACCCAGTTGTTTTGTTCATGTCTGTGCGAGCGCGTCTCCCTCTCGCGGTGAGGGATTCAATAAATGCTCAGCGCCACCATCCTCAAGCAGGAGTGGGGAGGTGACTCAGCCCCCCTCAAAACCTTCACTAGAGCGGACGCCTGTCATCCCAGCCCCTCAGGAGGCTGAAGTCTGAGGATCGCGGTTCAAAGCCAGCTCAGGCAGGAAAGTCTGTGAGACCCTGATCTCCCATGAGCCACCAGAAAACTGGAAGTGGCGCTGTAGCTCAAGTGGTAGAGCGCCCGCCTTGAGCTGAAGAGCTGAGGGACAGCGCCCAGGCCCTGAGTTCAAGCCCCACGACCGACAAAATGCAAACAACCAGAAGTGGAGCTGTGGCTCAAGTGGTAGAGCGCCAGCCTTGAGCAAAAATAAAATTACGGGCTCCCTCCAAAAACCAAAGCCTGAGCGGTGTCATTCTCTCTTCAGCATGGAGAGGTGCAGTGAACCCCCAAACTCTAATCTGGAAGAAACTGAGGCTGTGGGAGACGCTGGGTGGGCCTCACTTTTTGTGGCATTGGAGATTGAACTCGGGGATCTGTTCTCCCAGTTAACCCCCCGCCCCGTCCTTTTGCTTTGAGGTTTTTATTGTTTATTATAATTTCCAGATGGGGTCTCGCTCAGCCTGCTGGCTGGAGCCCTTCCCCCCTCCGGGGAAGCTGGGATTACAGGCGTGCCCTGTGGCGCCTGGCCGGGACCCTACTCTTCCCATTGCTGCTGGCAGCCAGACAGGGAGCCCAGAAGTGATTTCTTCCTCCTCTCTTTTATTTTATTTAGGGGGGGGACAGGTGTTGTCTGTGTGTGTGTTTGAGCCTCAGCTGGGGCTGCTGGGGGGGACCTGCTGGACAGCCCGTCACCCCAGCTCCTCAGGAGGCTGAGGTCTGAGGATCGCGGTTCAAAGCCAGCCCGGGCAGGAGAGTCCGTGAGACTCCTATCTCCAATGAAAGCCCTAGAACCAGCACCCCTCCCCCCAATAAACAAGGAGAGAGGAAAGGGCTTATCCGGAAGGCCCTGGGCTCCGCCTGGCGTGGGCTTCCCAGTGACACGAGTGACTTTAGCCCCTTTTATGGGTCAGATGTGGGGCCTGAACTCAGGGCCTGGGCGCTGTCCCTCAGCTCTTCAGCCCAAGTCTGGCACTCTACCGCTTGAGCCACAGCGCCACTTCCGGTTTTCTGGTGATTCCTTGGAGAGGCTCAGAGGGGTTGGGTCACCTGCCCCAGGATGCCCAGCTGGGAGGGGGTGGAGAGGACACTGGCCCCGACCTCGCTCTCCCCACCCCCACCTGGGAAAGACTGATGATGGGGTGAGGCGGGGTGAGGCGGGGCGGGGGTGAGGAGGGGTGAGGAGGGGTGAGGAGGGG